TAGAGGAAGAAACCTCTGGAACGAAACCATAGAACCCAAAGGAACGCGGAATCGAACCCGGGGAAGCCTAAACCACCACATTTGCCAGCGGAAATACACCACAGACAGGGCACAGCACCCCAGAAACAACCCCCCGTGAAACGGCCAAAACGGACCGAAAACCGAGGGACACAAGGTGGGTCCTTGTGTCCTCAGTGTCCGAGGGACACTGAGCCCAAACCACAGGACCCAGACCCAGACAGAAAATAAAAAAAACGGTGTAAAAACCAACACCCCAAGCATTCCCAGAGGAACAGAAGGAGGGCAGAACACCCCAGAAAAAGCAAAGAAATGGCAAAAGGAGGATAAAGCCCAAGAAGGAGGTGAAAAACTCCCCCAAAACACGAGCTCGCACACTCAGGAACAGGTAAACAAACCGCAACACCGCCCCGGTGGCCAGGCGGGGAAGCAATCCGCAGAAAGTAAATGACTACCAGAACATGGAGCCGCGACCGACACAAGAGATACGAAAACACGCCGGCAAATGTGGGAAGCAAGCAGATGAGAGGGAAAAAAAATCCCGCCAAAAAGCAGAAAACCCGGGCAGGGGCAAACAGCCCCAGAACTGCTAGCGGGCATCCCCCACAGCCCCAGGAACCCACAACAGAGGCCCCGGAGTGGAGCTGTTCTTCACGCCCTCTGCCCTTAAAGAAAAGGAAGAGTTTAGGGAAAAGGCAGCAAAGAAAGGGCCGCTGGTAAGACCCAGAAGCCTCGGCAGGAGGAACAGGATCGAAAACCTTAGTCCTCAACCCAAACGGGGCAGCCCCCGAAGCCGCCCGAGTCTCGGCACCAACTAAACCCTGCCCCGACCCCATAATCAGCAGACAGTCAGGAGCCGGGAACAGGGTAGGGAAGGGGCGAACAACACCTAACCAAAATGGGGTGGCCCTGGGGCATCCAGGTGGGAAACCAACCTAGCGCATTCCAGCAACCTAACCGAGCATGCAAGCGGATGCCGCCTGTACTCTTATAACAGTAAGGATATCAGAAGGCCAGGCAGCATGGCAGAGGTAAAAAGAGGTGACTGTCACCCTGAGACAAGGGCAAAGTCACCAACGAATGCACACAAGAGGGGTTGGAACCCGGAAGACACATTCAGTGGTCCACCGAGCCCCAACAGGGTTTTCCAGGGCCCGTAGGGGTAACTACTAAGGGAAGCCCGGGCAAGGTGTCGCTAACCGGTTAACACCCAAATCTAACAAGGGGGAGATGGTAACACTGAAAACCCCTGTGACGTGTACAATCATGGGGGGGGCCTAGCAGAGGGCCACCAAACAATACCAGTGGAACTATAGCCACACTAGGCAAACCCCCAGCAGGCAAATGAAAAAAAGAAAAGAAAACACCCGCAAATGGACACCGTCCCCAGAGGCAACAGGAACCGGTCGCCGCGTAGGTAGCAGGTCACGCAACAACTTGACACCCTAACCAGCACGATGCCAGTCCTACCCAAGTCCAAACAAAGGCCCTGCTTGATACCTGCTTGATGGGGTTTTGGGAGTTCTTCTACTCCCCAAGCCCGGCCCGAGGCCAGGCTCGACTTGTGAGAGCTTGGTCCACCAGACTGTTGCTTGAAGTGGCCTGCAGGGCCACATACCCACCACAGCCCGGCTGATCCGGAACTTCTCTTAGAAAACAGTCCAGTTTTCTCTTTAAAATGTCCACGGTTGTTCCGGCAATATTTCTTAGTCGCTGAGAGGACGCTGAACAACCGCGGACCTCTGATGTTTACATAGTGCTCTCTGATACAGTGCTCTCAGTGCCTCAAGCCCCAGTTGGTCCCCAAGGGCAAGACAAATGCCGAGCAGCAAGAACCCCTACAGGAATGGGTCCCCAACGCCCCAGGAAAGATAACCCTGACACGCAGGGGCAGTACTCACAGGGCGCTTAGGGACGGCCCCCCATAAGCACATGCAGCCCTGGCATTGATGAGGAACACCTGGCCAGCACACAACACAAAAACACGGCAGTGAGCGCCACAGAGGCAAACACCGCCTAAGAAACTGAGCCAAGAAGCGTCTGTCCCGGTTGACATTAGTTTACGAATTATGCAGCCGGCGCAGTGAGGTCCTAGCACACCCCCTCCCCCTCTCGGGGAAGTTTACTATATTATATTAAGAGCATAAATTATTGACTTAGTTGAGTTAGTTTAGTTTAGTTTAGTTTAGGTTAGGTTAGGTAGGGTTGATTAGGTTTGGTCATGTAACTACGTTAGTTTTAACTTAAATTTAAACAAATTAACTCATACATAATGAAATGAATAGGTTTATCATTTCATAAGAAAAAAAATGAGAGTTCCCTCGAACTCGAACAGAGCGGGGGAGTACTCAGATGTCACATCCATTGGACCCACGTGCCCCTGTGGGGATTCCCAGGGTCCTGAGACGGAACTCACGCTCAGGGAAACCCAGGCAGGGTACCCTCCCCCTCTCGGGGAGGGGAGGGCTGTGCGGACGAGCAGTGCAGCAGTAATGTGTTACGTTTTCTTGTTTGCTTGTTTCCTTGAGATTGAAGGGAGTTCTACCTCTCTGTTCGGTTTTTGTTGTTAGTTTCTTACCATGTGGGGGTTTGTTTTGTTATGGCTTCCTTTCTGGGTGTCTACCCCGGTCGATGGCAGATAAGGTAAAACCCCAACCACAAGGGGTGGTTTTCAGGGCCAAAGCTCCCTGAAACCTCTCTGAAAGTGCCAGGTTCTGGCTAATGGTCCCTGGTAAGTCTGAACTCAACAGCTAATGTCCTGGTCTAATATAAAATCAGCTTTGAATGTAATGAACCACCATTTTCTGGGTGAGACCCGGAGGCTCCCCGGAGATATCCCAGGCTGATATGCAAATGTCAGACTTTGGCATCAGTCATGTTTATGAAGTTCTGTGGGCCTACCGGGGACCACGAGCCAGAACCTGGCCCCCTCACAGAGGTACGAGGAGCAGTTTCCTATAGAAACCCCCGTGTGGTTGGAAGCATTATATGTGTGCCATCAACTGGGCTAGGCACCCAGAAAGGTAGGCGTTCCAAAAAAAACCCCAATTCTAGTGAAAATTGCTACAAAAAGCCGAACAAGTGGATAGAACTCCCCAAATAGAAATGAGCAAACGAGTATGACGTCACACGTCATCACGCCACCGTCTATGCAGCTCCCCATCACCATGGGAGGGGAAAGCGGGAGCTCCAGACCCCCGGGCCAGCCATCCACACCCCAGTCCTGAGGCCGGATATCAAAAACACGCGAAAAACCGCTGACCGGAGGGGTTAGGGTTCCCTCGAACTCGAACAGAGCAGGGGAGTACTCAGATGTCACATCCATTGGACCCACGCGCCCCTGTGGGGATTCCCAGGGTCCTGAGATGGATCTCACGTTCAGGGAAGCCCAGGCAGGGTACTGCAAACCGGCGTCCATGTCTACCAAACAACTTTCTAAGAACTGAACGTCCCGGGACGTGTACACTCAAGGGGACCTAGCAGGGAGTACCACTCGAAGTGAATTTAGTCCCAGGAACTGTACTTAGGGGGCAACCATGGCAGGCCCCCCTCACCAGGCAGGAAAACAAACAGAAAATGAAAACCCCCGCAAGAGGACAGCGCACCCAGGCGGAACAGAGCCGGCTTATGAATGGTGAAAACAAGCTGCACAGTATCCTACGCCCCGTACCAGTGCAAACTGCCCCTTACCCTAAGGTAAACCAGGGAGACAAAACACCCCAGCACACAAAGGGCGGCAGAAAACCGAGCAGTAAATGGCCTAGCAGAGGCAAAACCCAAGGAACTTGTGGAAGGTGGCCCCAAGGGCAGTACTTATAGGGCACCTAGGGTAGGGAGCCCTAGGCGTATGCAACCCGAGTACTGAAGAATCACTCCTGGTTCGCGCACCACCTAGAAGACAGACACCACACACAAGGCACAGTGCTGAAACATTCACTGGAGCCAGAGCACACGACTGCAGCCAATAGCATCAGCCTTCGAATTAGGGTGTAGATGGACGGCACGGGGGGGGGTCCGGGACTCCCCCTTCCCCTTCCTGGAGAGGGGGAAGCTGCGCAGACGGTGGTGCGACAACGTGTGACGTCATACTCGTTTGCTCGTTTCTGTTTGGGGAGTTCTATCCACTTGTTCGGCTTTTTGTACCAATTTGTGCCTCTGTAAGGTTATCTTGAGGTTATCTTGAGATTATTTCGGGGCGTAGCATCCCCGCCCTCGACCAGGCCTCCTTTTTGTTACACACCCCCCAAGAAGCAGCCCGTAGCAGCTGTCTAACTCCCAGGTACCTATTTACTGCTAGGTAACAGGGGCATCAGGGTGAAAGAAACATTTTGCCCATTTGTTTCCGCCTCCACCAGGGATCGAACCTGGAACCTCAGAACTACGAATCCGAAGCGCTGTCCACCTAGTTGTGTGGGGCCCTACCCAGCTGTGAGGCGCCAGGTTCAGGCTCGTGGTCCCCGGTAGGCCCACAGAACTCCATACACATGACTAATGCCAAAGTCTGACATTAGCATATCAGCCTGGATAGCTCCGGGGAGCCAACGGGGCTCTCCCCAGAAAATACATTAGCCCGATAAGCTCCAGGAAGCCGTAGGGGCTCCTCTCAGAAAAACAAAGAAAAATCAATCAGAGACATTGAAATAATTAGGTAATAATATCTTTGTGGACACTCCTGCCTGACAGCAGACCACCTCCGACGCTTGCACTGACAACGCCTGCATTTTGCCAAACTTCCTTGCCCCATTGTGGCCAAAACATGTCAATAACGATTCCCACCCCCCCCACCACCCCGTGGTCAGGGAACACAAATGATCACTTTTATTAGACAAAAAAAATTTAACATTTTTATTAAGCCCATAGCCTTCCAAGGAATAAGGATAACTATATTTGATACAAATGTAATTCCATTTCTTATGAGGTACACAACCTTAAATTTCCAAAACGTGCTAGGAACTAAACTCCTTGGCTTGGTAATCACTTACTTAGCTCGACCATAGGCTAGTAATCTATACTTGTGATTGATTGCAGCACACGTCGCATCATCCAGATCCCGAGCCCAGATTCCTTGTACTGCCTGTAGGGGTAGCGCACACATAATTTAAAACTCATTGATAACTACTTCATGTGAATATGACACATTATTACCTGCACATCATTAAATGTCCTTTTAGACATTTACAATTTTTCTTAAACACAAACAACAGAAGGAACATTAAAAATATAAATTTTTTGTAATAAATATTGTGGGATTTCCATTTTCCATGACCCAGATTATTCATGGAACTAATCTTCAACACCGCTGGAATTAGTGGTAACAGAAAATGTTTCCCCACTTTGTACTGTAAATAGATAGTCATTTAAAATTACAAACAGCAGATGAATTTATAGTTACTTCTTTATGAGTTTACTAAAATGTTGTATGTAATGAAATGCCCCTTTCTGGGTGAGTCTTGATGGCTCACTGAAACAATGTCTCCGAGATAGCTTCTCAATACTAACTGGCATTAGTTGTAGGCATCCTGAAAACCAAATAGTTCACTCAAAACTGGGTATGGAATTCTTCCCCCCCATACCAAGTGCATCAAACCATTAAAAATTACAGTGTTGAATGTAATGAAACACCCTTTTCTAGGGGTAGTCCCAAAGGCTCCCTGAAGCTAACCAAACTGATATGTGCTTTATCGGTCACATCTTTATCGATGTGATAAATCTTTATCTTTATCGGGGTCATCGGTCACGTAGAGTTCTGAGCTTACCAGGGACCATGAGCCAGAACCTGACCCTCTCAAGAGATGTGCAGGGAGCGACGGCATATGAGCAATTTACATGTAAAGTATGTCATATTCTGTCATCGGCCGTGGCAGTAGCTGAGAAAGACAGGCAAACCAAAACAAACTAGCTGGTAAAACACGACCTACAGCCCAAAATAGCAAAGAAAATCCTCAAATAAAAGAAAAGAACCGATACTAGCAACTATAGGTGTGTTATTTGCTGAGGAAGGGGGGAAGGGCACTGTGGCTTGCACAGTCTGCTTATGTGTTTTAATATCCAGCCTCAGAACTGAGGACTTGGGTTGTTGCTGCTAAGTGTCTGGGGCTCCCCCCTTCCAGGGAGGGGGAGCTGCGCAGACGGCGGCGCGGCGACGTCATGCTCATTAGCTCATTTTTACTTTGGGAGTTCTGTCCACAAGTTCATCTCTCAGTAGCAATTTCTTAACCAGAATAGGGGTTTGTTTTGGGATACTTACCTTTCTGGGTGCCTAACCCAGTCGATAGCAGACACAGAATCCTTCAAACCACATGGGGGTTTCTATAGGCTATTGCTCCTCGTACCTATCTGAGGGGGCCAGGTTCTGGTTCATGGTCCCCAGTAGGCCCACAGAACTCCATACACATGACTGATGCCAAAGTCTGACATTAGCAATATCAGCCTGGATAGCTGATATTGAGGAGGGAGCTGACGGGGCTTCCCCCAGAAATGGAATCAATATAAGAAGAAGCCAAACCACCAAACATACCAGTGATACAAAGATGGAAGAAACAACTACACGGCAGTGAGGAGAGAGGCAGAAAGAAATTTTGAAAAAGGGATAGCAGACAAATGTACAACAGAACCAGGCCTATTTTATAAATTCATCAACAGCAAATTGCTTGGAAAGGACAATATTCAGAGGTTGAAAATGGGAACAGGATTGATGGAAAATGAAAAGGAAATGTGAGAAACTTAAAAAGAAAAGTGCCAAAGTGTGTTTGTACAAAATGAAATCTTCAGAGAACCACACACACAATAAGAATTCCAGAGAACAACATAGAGTACATACAGATATCTAGAGACAAAGTGGAAAAAATGATCAAGGAGTTCAGTAAATACAAAGCCGTTGGCCCAGATGGAGTTTCACCATGGGGTCCAAGAGAATGTCGACCTGAGCTCAGCATTCCACTTCGACTGATTTTTAAGGCATCTCTGTGTACAGGAGTTGGAGCAGATGTGTGGAAAAAAAGCTAACATAGTTCCAATCACCAAAAATGGTAGCAGGAAAGACCCCCTCAATTTTAGACCTGTATCACTGACAAGTGTAATAGTCAAAATATTAAAAAACCAGCGTTGAATGTAATGAAACCCCATTTTCTGGGTGAGTCCCGAAGGCTCCCCGGAGCTATCCATGGCTGATAGGATACCCTAACTATTTTGCATCGATCGATGTGGGTAGAGTTCTAGGCCTACCGGGGACCACGAGCCAGAATCTGGGTCCCCTCACAAAGGCACGAGGAGCAATGGCCCATAGAAATGCACATGTGATTTGGAGCATTCTATATCTGCCATCGACCGGGACAGGCACCCAGAAAGGTAAGCACCACAAAACAAACCCCCTATTCTGGTTAACAACGAAAATCGTCAAACGAGTGGACAGAACTCCCCAAAAGAAAAACTAGCAAACAAGCATGACGTCACACGAGTCGCGCCGCATGTCTGCACAGCTTCCCCCTCCCCAGGGGAAGGGGAAGGGAGAGCCCCAGACCCCTCACACTGGAGATCCCCACCCCAGTTCTGAGGCTGGAAATAAAAAACCGCGAAAAAAACGCTGACCAGAGGGAGGGAGGGTTGCCAGAGAGCCTCCGGGACTCACCCAGAAAATGGTGTTTCATTATATTCAATGCTGGTTTCCTTGGGGGAGCTCCTATGGCTCCCCAGGGCTACTTCACCAAAGACAACAAAAGAAAAAAGGGGACTTACCTGGGAGGTGGTCGGTGCTCCACTCCTCAACTCCAAGTCGAGACAATGGGCTGTAACCGCCGACCCAAAGCATCACAGGCCCGACTGGGCCCAGGAATGTTCACAAGGTAGCGTGCTGCCAGAATCCTGTTCGACTGCCAAAAACCCCGTGCCCGAATGTCAGCCCAATACATATTGCCAAAGACAGCAGCAAGATCAGCAAATTTACGAACGTCATGGGCATGGGGATAGACCACAGGCTGGCTGGATTTAATTACCCTGCGAACAACCTGAGACCCCCCGAACCCATGAACAGTGAAGGAGGGAAACCGGATCACCCCAAAGCACGTCCCTGAACACAGAAGCCATGGCGCACAGATAACGGCAGAGGGCCGCAACCGGACACAACACTTGATGAACCCCCGGCCTGACCACCCAAGCATCAACAACCCAAGGACCCCTCCGGAAGGCAGCAGTCTTATTCTTCGCCAGAAAAGAAGGAGACAGCTGTAGACGCACATACCTATGACCACGACAAAAAGAGCAAAAACCCCTGCGCCGGAGAAGAACATGAAGCTCTGCCACACGACCCCCAGAGGCTAACGTCAACAGAAAAAGAGCCTTAGGAAAACAATCCTGAACAGAAGGGGCCACAACAAACCAAGGAGAAGAAAGATAGGAGAGCACCCTGTCCAAAGACCAGGATGGCTTAGGCGGTGCATGAGCAGGCCATAATGAAACAACGCACGAAACAGCTTGTGAAACGGCGCAGAAGTAACATCGATATCGAAAGCAAGCTGCAGCGGCTCTGCCAGCACTGCACGATATGAGGCGACAGTATTAGGCACAAGATGACGGTCCTGGAACAACCAAGAGAGAAAGGACAACACCACCCGAACCAAAAGCGAAGAGCAACGACGAAGGGACAAAAAGAACCGGAAGGACTGCCAAGAAACCTCATACTGCCACTGAGAGGAAGCCTGCAAGTGGGACACCATCAACAAAGCCACCTGATCACCATAGAGATGGCGATAAACACGAGTCAAAAACACCAAACACGAAGACTTGCGGAGAAGAGCAAACCAGTCTCGTACCGGACTGGGCCCGATCTCCTGAAAGAGGCGGAGCCGCGGAAAAACCTCCTGGTTCGGACACCGGGCAAGCAGTGCCTGAAACCACGGCTGGGCCGGCCACCGTGGGGCCAAAAGAACTACTCGCCCCTGGTAAGTCTCCAAGCAAGCCAGGACCTGGAGCAACAGCTGAACTGGGGGTAAAGAGGTACAGGAACCCCCCCCCCTCGACCAGTCCTGCAGAAAAGCGTTCATTCTAACAGCCTCGCAGTCGGGGAAGGGTGCCACATATGCCGGAAGACGCCTCGACCATGCCAATGCGAAGAGGTCCACCTCTGGGCGCCCAAACGTCTGGCAGAGCCAACTGAATGAGTCGGCGTCGACCGTCCATTCCATAGACAGGGGAACGAACCGGGACAGGCCGTCCGCCAGGACGGTGGACACCCCCCGGACATGAACTGCCAGGAGAGCCAAACCCTGAGAACTCAGCAGACAAGTCACCCAAAGCGACCAACAGTAAAGTGCCAAAGACCGCATCGAACCTCCTCGATTCAGGCAATGAACTACCTGGGAGCGGTCCGAATGGAGCGGATTGTCGATCTGCGGGCGACCCGAACCCTCCGAAGTGCAAACCACACTGCCGCGAACTCCAGCACCGTGCTGTGGACCCAACGGAAGGACGGACCCACTGCCCCTGGCCGGCCTGGTGAGCACTGGTCACAAAGCCACAACTGAGAGAAGACCCACGGGTCTTCTCCTTAGGCAACTTCCCATGGTCTTGCTGGTGGGGCGCGCCCATGATTTGAACCTTATATGCATATATCCGTGTAGGGAATTTTAATGCGATCACAGTGATACCAAAATGAACGACATAAAACAATTCTGGAGTTGATAAACCTGAAAAGAGCATAAACATTTCATCGCTGTTTGGCGCTTACAGCTAATGACCATAGTTTTTTATTGGGTGCGGGTCTCACATCGGCTTTGGTGAAATTTTAGATATATTCTTCTAGAGCATTCTCTTGCAAACAAATTGATTGCAAAATTAAATATATACATGGAAAATTAAGATGAGAAAACCGAAGAGTATACACATTTCAGTGTCGCCGCGCGGTCACTCGAAACAAACAGCACGTGAGGGGGAAAGTTACACAGGGTACTGCCGGGAGCGTGATAGTATTAAGACTTCCAGCTTGTCAAAACTTATCATAGCATCCCACAACTGCCATCATTGTACTATTAATCTGCAGACATCAGGGGCTACCAGCTGATACTACACACAGTGTAGGGGAATGCATTAGGAAGTGATGTGGTGGAGGCAGGCTCCATACACAGTTTCAAGTGTAGATATAACAGAACCCAGTAGGTTCAGGAATCTGTACACCATTTGATTGACAGTTGAGAGACGGGACCAAAGAGCCAGAGCTTAACCCCCACAAACACAACTAGATAAGTACAACTAGGTAAGTACAGTAGTGCTGGCCCCATGCAAGACCTGTGCACATGCATGCACATTGCATCCTGTGCACTTGGGTGCACACTAGGTGACAAACCTACTCCAATGTCCTTGTGCACAAAACTGCACGTTACAATTGTAGATTCCCAACTCTGACAATCAGCACTCACTCACTCCTAGGTTGAATCCCATGGGAACTTGTTTGCTCAACAGGTTGATACATGGGAGATTAGGTCAACTGATCATATGAAGGCTCTGTGACACAATTGGCTACTGGCTCATCCTGTTCCTAATGACTTAACACTATCGCACACGGCGCATAACTGCCGCAGACTTTGACGTCATGGGGCGGAGGGTGTGGGCGAGCGTGTGGCGACGCCAAAATGTGTATACTCGGTTCAGTTTTCTCACCTTAATTCTCGTGCTACGTCATTCGTTTTGGTATCATTGTGTTCGCAATGGAATTGCCTACAGGTGTATATGCATATAAAGTCCAAAAGCCCGGCATGACTCCCCACAGCAAAGCCTTAAAGTCAGAAAAGTTACCCGTGAGCACACAAAATCAGTAAAATGTGTATACTCGTTTCAGGTTACTCACCTTAATTCTCGTGCTACGTCGTTCATTTTGGTACCATTGTGCTCGCAATTAAATTCCCTGCAGGTGTATATGTATATAATGTCCAAAAACCTGGCGAGACTCCCCGCAGCAAAGCCTAAAGTTACCCGTGAACGAGCACCAATTTGCACACCACAACCTAATGTGTATACTCATTCAGTTTGATAACTTCAATTTTCGTGTTACATCGCTTGTTTTGGTATCAAATTGTTCTCAATATAAAGGCATGCATTTTAAAACTAGTCTCATAATAATAGAGCAATAACTTGAATTTTAACAAATATTTAAATTTTGGACGCTCATCATCACAATTATTTATATCTTTCCAGTGTTCTGACATCAATTTTCGTGTTATGTCGCTCGTTTTAGCAACAAATTGTTTGCAATCTAAAGGCGCGCATTTTAAAACTAATCCCATAATAATAGCACAATAAATAAAATTTTAACAAATATTATAAAATTTAAAATTTAGACCCAAAAAGTATTTATAATCTTTCAAGTGTTCTGACATCAAGTTTCATGTTACATCTTTCATTTTGGTATCAAATTGTGCACACTCTAAAGGTGCTTATTTTCAAACTATCCCAAGGTCGATCAGATAAAAAATGAATTTTATACAAATATTTTTGGAGTGGACGCAAGTCCTATCCACGGCTAGGACTCAAGAGAAAAGAAATGGACATGATCGGTGTCCAAAGCGAGCTATACTGTTAATTAGCTTTATAAAGATAATTCCTAATGAATCAAAAAGTAATCTCAATTACTTTTTATCATTACCATAATTATATACACATGTAATCCTGTAATGCCATGAACTCAGTAAATAATAAACAAGAAAATACTCCTGCAAGTTATGTCAGTTAATTTTTTATAATACTGTAAATATAATTCCCTGGCACTTTCTGGTAACTTCCCCTCACTAGAATGACAAGCTGCAACTTTGTTTCATCACAGGCCAGTAGACTCTTCGCTACAGTTAGCTAGTGATCCCTGCCAGTACTCTTCGCTACAGTTAGCTAGTGATCCCTGCCAGTACTCTTCGCTACAGCTAGCTAGTGATCCCTGCCAGTACTCTTCGCTACAGCTAGCTAGTGATCCCTGCCAGTAGACTCTTTGCTACAGTTAGCTAGTGATCGCTGCCAGTACTCTTCGCTACAGTTAGCTAGTGATCGCTCCCAGTACTCTTCGCTACAGTTAGCTAGTGATCCCTGCCAGTAGACTCTTCACTACAGTTAGCTAGTGATCGCTGCCAGTACTCTTTGCTACAGTTAGCTAGTGATCGCTCCCAGTACTCTTCGCTACAGTTAGCTAGTGATCCCTGCCAGTAGACTCTTCACTACAGTTAGCTAGTGATCCCTGCCAGTACTCTTCGCTACAGTTAGCTAGTGATCGCTCCCAGTACTCTTCGCTACAGTTAGCTAGTGATCGCTGTTAGTAGACTCTTCACTACAGTTAGCTAGTGATCCCTGCCAGTACTCTTCGCTACAGCTAGCTAGTGATCCCTGCCAGTAGACTCTTCACTACAGTTAGCTAGTGATCCCTGCCAGTACTCTTCGCTACAGCTAGCTAGTGATCCCTGCCAGTAGACTCTTCACTACAGTTAGCTAGTGATCGCTCCCAGTACTCTTCGCTACAGTTAGCTAGTGATCGCTGTTAGTAGACTCTTCACTACAGTTAGCTAGTGATCCCTGCCAGTAGACTCTTCACTACAGTTAGCTAGTGATCGCTCCCAGTACTCTTCACTACAGTTAGCTAGTGATCACTGTTAGTAGACTCTTCACTACAGTTAGCTAGTGATCCCTGCCAGTGGACTCTCACTACAGTTAACTAGTGATCCCTGCCAGTAGACTCTTCACTACAGTTAACTAGTGATCCCTGCCAGTAGACTCTTCACTACAGTTAGCTAGTGATCCCTGTAGAGAAGACACCAGCTCCTGACCCCTCGTCTAACAATAGTCTAACATAACTCACTTGACTTGGTCTCACTGTGGCTTTAGCATATTTTTATCACTGACAAATCCTTAAACCTTACTTGGGTCACTTGCTACCATGGCCAGATACATAACATGGATGCGTTTTCTTATGAGGGGTCGTAGCTTGACAATGCACACAATGGTGGGCCAATTGTTGAAATATGCAATGTATTCATGAGGACCACCTTGCACGAATCCCTCACCGGTACAGTATTTGAAACAGTCACTGTGCAATCACTAACTCATGCATCAAAGAACTTACTGTACAAGGAATCTGTGAAGCCTTGCCTCACCTTGATGCACTGCCACCAACTTCAATGCAGATTTCACTATTAGACTAGATCTTCTTCTTGGAACCAATGTACCTTTGACCTAAGATCCACACACAATAAATCTCCTCTGAGACTAGAGAATGCCCTCCTTAGGTGACAACATTTCTTCTCCCTCTTCTCTGAAAAAATGGGCCACCACCAGTGAGCCTCATAATACTGTGCCATTGTTGCTGCTACAAATTGGTTCATCACACAAAACTAGCTTTAAGTAGCAGATCAGGTCACCAGAAGCAGACAGCCAATCCTCAGCCTTCGTAAGGGCTGAGGATTGCCCAAATTCTCTAATAAGTAGGGACATTCCTTCATACACTTCATCAATTAATGAACCCAATACAGTACTCTGTTGGAGAATGACCAGGCACAATCCACTTCAGCCGGTGTCAGGGCAATGAATGAGTTTCAGTCAATGCCACCGGCTGACCTTTCTGATGTCAAGCAGGACTGGTAGCTCCTATTGGCTACTGCATAATGTTACAATTTTACATCACATTTCAAATGTATCCTGAATCCTTCTAAAAGTTTCCCTTCCTCTTTCGATGCCAGCTGCCAGTAGAGAGCTGCCAATGAGAAGTTAGACTTAACTAACTACATTTTGTCTACCCCATAATACAAAAGTCCTAAATACGGTTAAGAGGGAAATAGGTAGCTCTCATTGTTGGCAATGTGTGCCTTATGCAGGACTGCATAATCATAGCACATTCGACCCAAGATAATGATATATTTTCTGTATTAAAAGATAATCATGCTACAAGGTTTACTGTACTTATTTTTAAATTTATAATATATACGACAACACATTTTAGGTGTGCTAGGCCTTCAAAATCAGGACAAATATACTAAACATAATAGTTGGCAGATGCTGTATTTTAGCTCAAACTTTTGTCTGAGGAGTATCTTCATCAATAAAAGGTAATGGGAAGACAGTAGGTCTCTCATGCAACAGTCAGCAGTGTGATGTTGGGCAAAAGGTAATGGGAAGACAGTAGGTCTCTCATGCAACAGTCAGCAGTGTGATGTTGGGCAAAAGGTAATGGGAAGACAGTAGGTCTCTCATGCAACAGTCAGCAGTGTGATGTCAAAAACATCAGACCAACAACAACTGTTGCTATATATGATTACTGTCAATTGACAATTAAGCAAGTTCTTTGTCTTATGAACAGAAACCATTATTCTGATTACAACAATTTACAAAACTGCAATGTAAGCAGATTCAGTGAAGATTGTTTTCTATTGACATGGTGTTTTGTACTATAAGTACACTACTGACTGGCACCATCTGTGCATTACAACCACACTCTACTATTCCTGAAACTCTTGTACTGGTCAAATGTTGAATTGGGAGCCTTTCTCAGCATTTATAATATGAAACATTCTGAAAGTGTTTACAATTTTAGAAGGGAATATTTTAAATCAACTCATAAAAACTGATACTTACATTTGGATCAAATTTAAGTGTGGACGCAGTAAGGAATGCTGCTCGACCATCACTAAGAACAACTGCAAAACCTCCCACCAATGGCGAATACTCGAGGTCTATCACATGAATTCCTGGTGTGTCTAGAGGAACCGCTGAAATGATTCATTATTGTGAGATCATCTTATAGAGAATGTTTCTTTAAGACTTGCTATTTCATAAATAATTACAAGTTTATTTATAACTTCCTATATTTGTAACACTGTATTAATAATAATGGCTCAATAACAGTACCGAATATACCTTGTGGTCACCTTGCGGCGGTTCCAAAGTTCAACGTCCTCACGACCTGGTCAACTAGGATGTTAGACACAGCTGCTCACATTCTGACATATAAATCACAGCCCAGTTGATCAGGTATTGTTTGGAAGTGTCTATCAACTTTTCTTTTTAACACTGACAGGTCAGCCAGCTATGTCCCTTATGTTTAGAAGGAGAATGTTGAAAAGTCAGGGCCCTTGATATTGATAGAATTTTCTCTCAGCGTAACTAATGTACCTCTGCTTTTCAACAGGGCTATTTTGCACTTCCTGCCATGCCTTCTTGTATCACATTGTGCTATTTCCATGTACAGGTTTGGAAGCAGTACCTCTAATATTTTCCAAGTGCTTACCTATCAGAGCTTGCTTATTAGTGACTACAAAGGAGTGAGAGCTCTTTATACCCTGCCTCCAAGCTGTTTATACCTGGTATACCAATTACTTCTCTCAATATTAACATTTTATCAAAGTTGTGGATAGAATTGGCTTCAACAACCTCTTCCTTCAATGCATTCCACTTGCCAACTACCAGTATAGGGAACGAGAACTTCCTCTCATCTCTTCAACTCAATTCCTTGTCCAGCCTCCACTGATGTCCCCTTGTCCTACCTCTTTTTAATTTAAATACGCTTCCTTTCTCCACTTTATCAATTCCCCTTAAAATCTTGTGCACAGTTATGTCCCCTCTGTTTCTTCTCTAATGCTGTGAGGGAGCGTTCTTTCAACCTGTCCTCATAACTGAGGCCTCTCAATTCTAGTACTAATCTAGATGCAAACCTCTACATTTTCTCAAGTTTCTGTTTAGATTTCACAAGGTGTGTTCCATGTTTGAGCTGCATACTCAAGTAATGGTCTCACATATGTAATATCTATGAACTTGAAACCCTCTTTGTTTAGATTCCTAAATGTTCTTATATTTGCTAACTTCGTGTATGTTGCTAATGTTATCCTGTTGACATGAACTTCTGGTGTTAGTATTGGGATTGTGTCTACACCTAGGTCTTTTCTCTTACTGTTTCTAGTAAGTGCCTTTTCCTTAAGGTCTAGTTAAATACAGGTTTCCTAGTTCCTTTACCCATTTTCATTACTTTACACTTATTTGGGGTGAATTCCAGCAGCCATTTATCTGCTTCTTGCAGCACCCTGCAGTCTTCTTCAGTTCTTACTCTCCTCATTAACTTTGCATCACCTGCAAACATTGACCAAGTTCACTCCCTCTGCGAGGTCATTTACATGAATTAAAAACATCAATGTTTCTAGAATAGAGCCCTGTGTAGCACCATTTTTCACTCCTCTGCAGGTTACACATCCTCTCTGACTATGACCCTTTGCTTCCTGTCTGTCGATAAACCTTATACCCAGTCCAGTACGATCCTTGTTATTCCCACTTGTCTCTCCATCTTGCACATTAGCATTTTGTTAAGAACTGTATCAAAAGCTTTTCAGCAATCTAAGAGATGTAGTCTACCCATCTTTTCTTCTCTTCTTTTATTTTGGTGACCACCATAGAATTTAGTCAAGTTTGATACACATATGATTTTTCCTCTCCATGTCCATATTGCACCTCTTAAAAAATTTACTCGACAAATGTTCTACAATTCTTTTTCTAATGGCTCTTTCTAGAATCTTCAAGGAATATATTTTAATGACATAGGTCTACATTGTAATGCTTTATGCCTGTCGCCTTTTCAGGAATAATGGAACTATATTTGCCTTTTTCCAGATTTCTGGTAGCTCTCCTATCTACATTTAATGGGTAGCCCAAGATATCTGCAGCATCCTTTAGTTATCATAGTGATATCTCATTTGGTCCTACTGCTTTTGTTACGTACAGTTCCTTCAGGTATCTTTTGATTTGTTCTTCCTTACCAGCTATGAGGTTATGCAACAACTTAGGTTGGCCCATTGCTTTTGCCACAATGTCATTCTAAAACTGCTGCCCTACTACTGTACCTACATATCTGTTGATTTCCTGTTGTTGGTTCTTGGGATCAATGTACCTGCAGCCCAGTCTCTGACCAGGATTCCGGGTTGGCACTTTGATCAACCAGGCTGTTGGATGCAGCTGATGACAGTCTGACATATAAATCATGGCTTGCATGGTCGGGTATTCTTAGAGGTGTTTAATAAGTTCTGTCGTCTTGAACACTGAGAGATTTGCCGTTATTTTCCTTATATGTAGAGGGAGAGTGTCGAAAAGTCTTGGGCCCTTGATGTTGACAGAGCTCTATTTCAGCATACCTATTGCACCTTTGCTTTTCAATGGGGCTATTTTGCATATACGGCCATGCCACCTGATTTCATGCGGAGTTATTTCCATGTGCAGATTTGGAACCAGTTCTAGTATTTTATAAGTAAATTATTATGTCTTTCTCTTGCCTGCACTCCAAAAATACAGGTTTAAAATTGTCAAGCAGTTCCATTAATTTAGTTGTTTGAATGAATTCGTGCAGTAAAAAATCTTTACATGTTTTCCAAGGCAGCAATTTCTCCAGCTTTAAATGGGGCCGTTAGTGTGAAATAATATCCACCCTAGAGAGCACTACAACAGTGTCCTAAAATGTATCATTGGTGTGGCTAAATTTTTTTGAAAGGTTTTTGTTATCCAACCAAGGAGAAATCATATTTCCTTGCAGTTGTGACAGCTAATTTATTATATGCTTTAAAAGTAAGGTCTTCCAACATTATTACTCCCAAATCTTTCAAATTTCTTCAAAAGCGTGGTTTGCCTGCTTTTTATACGTGGTTTCTGTTTTAACCCTTAAACCGCACATATCATATATAAATGATATCAGTGACAAAACCGAAACCGCGCACATCATTTATATATGATTTCGTGTCTAGCACTATAATTTAAACGCCCTGCCTGGGATAGGGGCAGCTATAGTACAGCCACGGCCGATAGTTGCCAGATGCCACTTAGAAAAAAAATCCAGGCCAACATTCTTGGGTGTTACAGCGTCAGTATTGAGCAAGCCACCAAGGCTGGCGCACGCAGCACGAGCTCACAGCACGAGCTCACAGCACCGCTGTTCAGCTTGTGACCACAGCATCACCTACAAATACCATAATATAAATGATACTGCTATTAATTAGCAGTGATAGTGTTACTGAAGCCCCCTGACTGTAATAAAACTGACCAGGATTCTGATAACAGCAGGATTGTGGTGATATTTAGCGCTGTGCTCCATGGAGGGAGGAGTAAGGCTGTGGGAGGGAGGGTTGTGGCGTCGTCTTCTGACTGTGTGTGGCCACCATTTATTGACTACACTCACCATACCAGCTTAGTGGTTCGCTATGGTGAACACAAATGTAGATACAGTGGTACCTCGGAAGGCGAGTGTCCCTGTATGCGAGTTTTTCGGAAGACGAGCAGTATTTACTCCAAAAATTTGTCTCGGAAGGCGAGGGTTACCTCGGGACGCGAGTTTGTTGATACGCGTACAGGCCGACCTAGCTCGTGGTGGTTCGGCGATCGTCGCCCCTCTGCCCCGCCGCCCCTCAGTTTACCATTGTCTCGCGCTCAGTGACTACCCCCACATCAATTCTTCTCGCGGATTTTCAGTGTTTTGTTGGATTTTTGGTGATTTGTCTATACAATTTGTTATTATATATCTCACCATGGGTCCCAAGAAAGCCAGTGGTAAGGATAAAGGCCAGAAAGCTCATGTGAGGATGACAATAGAGGAGAAACGAGATCATTCGGAAGCATGAGAACGGTACACGTGTTGTTGAACTTTGTAGGCAGTACAACAAAGCCACATCAACAATATGCACTATACTTAAGAAGAAAAATGAGATTATGGGTGCTAAAGTGGCAAAAGGAGTAAGAACAATAACGAAACAAAGACCACAAATACTTGAAGAAGTGGAAAAGTTGTTATTAATTTGGATACACGACAAGGAGTTGAGGGGTGATAGTGTTTCGGAGGCCATTATTTGTGAGAAAGCCAGGGTGTTGCACGAAGACCTTCTAAAGAAGACCCCTGCAACGAGTGATGCAGATAAGAAAGAGTTTAAGGCAAGCAGGGGCTGGTTTGAAAAATTTAGAAAGAGAAGTGGTATCCATAGTGTTACAAGGCATGGGGAGGCAGCCAGCTCAGACAAACCAGCCGCTGGACGATTTATTGACGAATTTAAAGAGTTTGCAGAGGCTGAGGGATACCTACCGCAACAAGTGTTTAATTGTGACGAAACAGGACTGTTTTGGAAAAGAATGCCTAAGAGGACATACATTACCAAGGAGGAAAAATCCTTGCCTGGACACAAGCCTATGAAAGATAGGTTTACGCTTGTGCTGTGTTCAAATGCGAGTGGCGATTTGAAAATTAAACCCTTGCTAGTGTATCATTCTGAAAATCCAAGGGGTTTTCAAACAGTATAAAGTGCAGAAAACCCATTTGTGTGTGATGTGGAAGTCTAATAAAAAAGCATGGGTGACTAGGCTTACTTTTTCGGAGTGGGTGAATGAAGTGGTGTGCCCTGCCATAGAAAAATATCTGCAGGAGAAACATTTGCCACTCAAAGCCATGCTTCTCCTTGACAATGCTCCTGCTCATCCTCCAGGCTTGGAAGATGATTTGTTGCCTAGATACAATAAATTCCTCACAGTTAAATTCCTTCCTCCTAACACCACTCCTCTAATTCAGCCTATGGACCAGAAAATCATAGCGAATTTTAAGAAACTTTATGAAAGGGCACTTTTCCAGAAATGTTTTGAAGTGACTGAAGCCACAAACCTCACCCTCAAAGAGTTCTGGAGAGAGCATTTTAACATTTGTAGTGCTTTAAAACTCGTTGACAAAGCCTGGCAAGAAGTGACTCAAAGAACCCTG